GGCAAAGTCCGTGGTGGTCTGTGGGGCCTGGCAGGGCAGAGGGAGGAGGACAATGCTGGAGATGAAAAGCAAATCACTGTGCTCTGCCTTACAAGGCAAGGGACCAGGGAGAGCCAAAGGACCAGAAGAGGAAGTAGTGAGCTGCTGTTGGGGAGCACAGGGAGGGAAATAGATGTATGAAAGCCTTTGCTGGTCACTGGAAGGAATGTTTAAGACCAGCTTCACAGCTGGGAGGAGAGTGAAGTACCCACAAAAGATTCCTTGGACAGAGACTGATGAGTCTCCCTTTGTCTCAAGAGCTGATTGCCAGACACCTGTCAGAAATGGTATTGCATGTTGGGAGGCTCACTTAATTAGTGTTTGTGAAGCACTCTGAGGACAGGAGATGTTCTTGAGAAGCTGAGCAGTACTTTAGCAGGTAATGGAGGGAGCCTCTCAGAAAGACCTGTCTTCACCCTGCAGCTCCACCTCAGGTGTTTTTCCTCCAGACAGATACTGCTGTCTGAAGGAGTCAGACTTCTGCTTTGAGCTTGCTGGAACAAGGATGAAAGGCAGGAATATTCACATCTCAGAGCTGTTTGCTTGGTCTAGCAGTCTGCTTGCACATTCAGGGACACCGTCACAGGATCTCATAAACTGCGGAGCTGTTGCACCAGAGCTGTTGCCTTATGATGGAAAATCAGTCTGTTGAAGTTTAAATTTTCAGGTGCTCCCAATTATGTGCAACGCTGGGTGTAAAACTGTACCAGTGCTCTCCTCTCCAGCCACTCCATTTGGAGATGAAGGTGCCAGGACTCCTGAATATCAGTGAATGATCTACAGCAGCTCTTTCCTTCAAACAAAACAGCATTGGGTAACGTGAGACTGAGGCACCGTGTTCGGTCGGTTCAAGTGTTCAGTACGGCCACAGGACGGTCCAGGCCTGAGCTCTCCACCCAGAGCCACCAGCGACAGCCGATATCCTTCCTCTGCTGGCCTTCAGTGCTTTTTCAGTACCCCGTGCCTGGGTGCATCCTGGGTTTACGGGTGCTGACAGGGCAGTCTGGGTTCCTCACTGGCCTCCACCTGATCACACTCATTCATTTCACATGCTGCATGGGAAGGTGCAGTTTTGCTTGGAAAGCGACCGAACAAGACCTAACTATCTCCAGGGCTGTCTGAGGAGCTGTTGCTTCACTGCTCATGGCAAATAAACCAGCCTGTATGGCAGGATGGGAAAAGTCCCATGGGTCCACTGAAGGGCAAAGCACAATTGAGAGCAATAGGATACTGTTCGCCCAGCAGTTGCTGTCCCAGGCCACTGGCTTTGCACTCCAGCTGTGGCAGAGAGCATAGGCAGGTGAAGCGTAGTCAGGCGTAGGTGTTTATCTAGTTACCACGTACAGATGTGCACATCTCCAAGGGTGTCTAAGGAAGGACCACAGCCATCTGGGTGCTCGTTACAGTGTAAGCTCTTGCAGGGAGGAGCCCAGAGTTGAAAGCTGAGGCCTGCTTTCATAGGGATGTAGGGACAGAGGAGTTGAATCATGAGGGAACAGAGGCTCAGTGGCACAGGCAGGTGCAGGGAGCCAGGCAGTGGGATAACCTGCCCTTATGTCAAGAAGTGGAGATGAGACTCACTGCTGTCAGCAGCAGAAACCAAAGGCCACAGCCAGTGGAATGGGGGTTTTACAGGGATGTATGTCTGTGGGTGGCATGGGGACACTTGGGATCCCCCAGTGCTGCTGGAGGAGTGAGTCGAGGACGAGGTGGAAGGTGATGGCAGCCCTTCACTGTACTGTCCCGAGGGCTGGCTGAGCAACGTGAGCTTACAAAGAGTGACAGCACCCCTTTACTGCCAGCAGCTGCCTTGGGGAATGCGAGGAGGCACCCCCAGGAGGGACTGCCAGGAGCTGATGATGTACTCCTGTATTCAGCCTGAAAGACACTGCTAGGAGTAGCTGCCTGACAGAGCAATGCAAGGGGGACCTGAATTTGAAAGTGTTGGATTTAAATTAGCTCTGAAGGGAAAATCTGCACCCAAGGAAGTGCTGCCCAAGGAGGGAAGATCTCTAGCAACAGCAGTTGTATTGTAGAGGATGATGCTGAGCAGACAGCAAACCCAGCATTGCTGGCCACAGGGACTTGAAAGCCCACCAGGATCCACGTCCCCCTCCCCAGACACATTCTCCCAGCTCCTTCTGCACCCCTCAACAGACAACACAGGCTTGAAACGTGACTCTCTAACCCATATTTTAGATCAACCTGGAGTGTTTCCTTGAAGCAAGAAGTTTTGGCACGTTCCCTGGTTTTACCAGCTTTTTCCCCCCATGTTTTCATTTAGATTCCTTCAAAAATCATCAGTGCTATTGCTAAAGCAGAACCCTGTGGAGTGTAAGAAACACCCCTCCCTGCCCAGGGGATGCATCCATCCCCATCACTGCTCGCAGCCTTGCTGGGTTCCCCCAGCACCATCACAAGATCCCAATGGTAAAGCTACAAGGAACAGGTGCTTCGCCTTGCACAGCTTCTGGTTTCAGTTAAGGGCAGTAGGATGCAGAACGTGAACCTGAACCCCCTCTTTCTCAGGTCACCAGACTCCATTTCTGACAGGGGCAGGCAGCACTATTTGGAGAGATGTGCAAGAACAGGATAAAAGCAGTGTTCGTTCCCCTGTCCTCCCAGCTTCCAGGAGGACTTCTGCAATGGACCCAAACAATCCTGCTTCCTTGTTCTCTTTAAGAAAGCTCAGTTTGGACTGAGACCCAAGCTCAGCCCCTGCACTGATCGAACTTTGCTGCCAGGTTGGTGAATGCCCCATTGCGTGGCCACATCGCAACACACTTCTGCCTCTTAGTGGCTAGGACTGCTAGCCAGAAGCCAGCGATAGCTGCCAAAGTGGAAGGGGCTGGGAGGAAGAGCAGAAGAGTAGCCACATAGGTGGTTAGAGAAGCTGCGTCAACTAGCTCTAGGCAGAAGCCTTGCTCTAACCTCATCATGCCTGTGATTCAGTTTCCTGGCTCTGACTGTGTTCCCTCCAGTCAGCCACACACTGATCCCAATCTTACAGCAGGATAGGGGTGGTGGAAGTTCCCACTGAGCATGGCTGAAGGAAACTCAGTTCATGGCAACTGCAGGTCTAGCAAGGGAGACAGTTTGCTCTACTGGCCATCTAGGCTCCTGGGCTCGGCTGAGGGTAGCCGCCAGCTGAGGAGCTAAGCAGCGTGGCATGGGGGAGAGGCAGTTTTGTGGCACAGATCCCAAATCCTGCAACAGAACAATTCCTCAAAAGTCAGCAACCTTTCACTTCTTCCTTGTCTTTCAGGCTAGAGAGCAGCATGTGGAAAGCAAAGCTGTCATGGCTACACCAACACATTTGAGACAAGCCTGCCCTAGCACAATTCTCCCCTTCCTTCCACATGCCATTACCCTGTCCTCTTTATTTTCAGCTCTCCCAGCTGCATCCCAGCATGCCTCCTTGTACCAAAAATGCTCAACCAGAATAAACCCCAGTATCCCTCAGCTCCTGTTGCCTGTAATTCAGTAATGGCCCAATGGCCCTGAACAGCAAGATACTTTGCCACAGCTGCTGCAGAAACCCCACAGAGGGAAGCATGTTCATACCATATCAGCTATACTGTTCTTGGTTAAAATTTATCTACTTTGTGCATGTCAAAATGAGGAATAGTCCACAAGAGGCAGGATGAAAATCCCGCTTGGGTAGCAGCACAAGTGTTCTGTGAAACACACACAAGTTATTGCCTATTCTGAGAATTCAGCTTCTCAGCAGTGGGGCTTGCATTACCACCTCTCCCACAGGGCAGGTCTGAGGTTCAGTACAAGGGAACAGACAAGATGGGGCCAGCTTGAGTCCCACAGGCAGAAAAAAGCCCTGCTGGGAAAAAAAAAAAAAAAAAATCAGTTGTGCAATCAACAGATTGAAAAGCAGATGATGGAGGGAAGAAATCAAACAAGCTGGAATTTGGGAAGACTTATCTCAAATACATCCATTGCCTAAAGGCCAAAAGGGTATTAATGCCTACCCTTGAGCACTACCTTAGATGGAGTTAAGCTCCAGGGGTCTGACCAGTCATACACTCAGAAATGCCCAGCTTCTGTTTGTTAATGTTTGGCACAAATATTTAATAGCAGAATTCAAAACTCAGTGTGTTCCATTTTTGTCTCGTGTGGAAAACTAGTGCAGGTGATAATCTAGTTGTACAACAACATGTTAAAAAAGTTTATTTTACATTATATACATTAGGGAACATATTTCAAATCATTACCAATCACAACAATAATGCAGGCCATAAATCACTTTAAATTTAGTTTGGTTTTAGTGTATATTACCACAATAAAATATAAAGAACATACACACACAAAAAAAGAGTCAAATGTGTGCATTTCGCTAAAACTTGGCATTTACATACTCCATTGGAAACAGCAATCAAAAATACTTCTGATCAAAACTAAGTTCTGTGATGCATGATAACCATTGTATTGTTTGAATGAGGTAGTAACTAAATTATTTTGGCCATGTGTTAACATCCTAAATCAAGAAAAACATGAAAATGGTTATAAGGCCAAAAGAAAGTCAAAATGGCAACATCTTTGAGCCATTTCCACAACGTGGAATGTTGCTCCTTTTCATTGTGATACAAAACGAAACAGTAATACTAATTTTTATCATTGTATACACTAATAATTCAAACACCTATTGCAGTGTTACAGCCAGGTACCACTAGTCTGGGACTGACACCCATCCAGAAAGTATGGTTTTCAAGCACAGAGAAGTAATCATAAGGAGAGTTTTAATTAAATATAAAAATACAGGTGTTTAACTGGTTTGTTTCACAAAGAAAACTACCCAAAATGAACTTTGAAGCCCAAGTCATATCCACAAAGTCACAGCTTACCTTTGTGACCAAATACATCACATCTCAATACATTGTGCAAACATGAACACCAGTGTGTTGCATCAAAATTAAAACAAGATTGTAATCTGATTACAGCCTTGGTTACAATTTCTAAAAGTTAAGATTTATTTGTATTAGTAAATTACACATAATAAAATACAATAGTGTTGTTAAATATACTATGTTTGTTGCTAGCATCCCACTTTATAATAAACATGAGAAGTCCTTGAAATAGTACCCTAATTTCATTTTTTGTATCCTCGGTGACTTTTACATCTGTACAGGTAAGACACTTGTACTCAACAGGAGGACCGCTATCTACAGAAAGTCAGTGTAGGTCTTCAGCAAGAAGTTTCACTGAAAAATACTGCATATGTACAGAGATTACATAACAGTAAATAAAGTATTTCTGTGGTATCATAATGCTCATGTGTCCATAACACAAACAATTCTCATCTTCCTCTCATGCCACAATAAATTATAAAGTAACTGAAGTGGGGTTACTGCAGCTGTTGTGCAGTTTCAGCCAGCCGTGAACCCTGCAGCAGCAGGAGTGTTCTCTCGTCACAGTGAGCCGCCGGCCACGCGCTGTTCTCAGTAACTGTTCTCATGCCCTGCCAGGATATACAAATTGCTGTTGGCTGTTGGGTTATCCGTAGGCCTACTCTCCAGCACCACAACCCTAAAATGAACATAAAAAAGCTTACATGTCAAGTAAGGCTTCATTTAAAAACATCCTTGGATGTAACTGTAAACATTCTTTCCCAGGATCCATCCGACCGGTGGCCATTTCTCT